ACACACACACACACACACACACACACACACACACACACACACACACACACACTACAGTTGAAAGAGAAATAATGTCAAACATTAAGAATGATATATCTTCTTGCTATATATAGCCTTGGCTGGCCTATGCAGCCCAAGCTAGCCTCAAACTTATGACAGCTGTCCTGCCTCAGTCTCCCACGTGCTGGGATTATAGGTGCTCAGCACCAGGCCCAGCCATAAATCTAGGATTTTAAAAGAATGTCAGATAAGGATACAAGGGGAGGTAAACTAATAATGCTGAGAAGCTCTAGGATAGATCTACTGAACGTACCAGGACCATTTCCTAATACAGCTAAGGAATCTGTATCAACCAAAGTACATCAGTACTGGAAAATTTAAATGCCTAATTATATTAAAACATACCAGACTAGTTCTTAAACTAACAACAAAAAAACTGAAGCATTTTTCTGTGAAATTTCAGAAAACAGACAAAATATTTTCCTTAGGCCTGAATAGCAACCAAACAACTGGTTAATAAAGTAACATGGGAGAATTCGTGTTATACCAGAATTTTTAATAAATCAAAGAGTATATATGCTATGCAATAAAACTTCCCAAGTTGATGGAAATAATTCTGCACTATTCGATATGGCTGTAGTTTGCCACATGGGGACACTTCAAATGTGGCCAGGGCAACAAAAGAACTTAGCTGCATTTAAATAAAAAAAATGTAAATTGTTAAATATTTTAGCCACAGCTGAACAGACAGTACGCGGAGTTCCTGTGAAACCTTTGCCCAGTTCCCCCAGTAATAACAGTGCACTTCACTATTTCGCTACAGTGCAATGACCAAAGCCAGAAAAGCAATACCAAGACTATACGCTATCAACCTTGAATTTCAAGCTCTTTGGGGGTAGGAGGTAGTTCTTCCTTTCCTCTGTAACTTCCAACACATTCAAGATAGGTAACTGTGTTATCCTGCCTGTCCTGAAGCATCTCATACTACTTTTCTGAAGCCACACACCTCAACCAGAAGCCCTGACAAATGAAGATCTGTTCTCCAGTGCTACATTTGCCACTTAAAAATATTCTTCTTTCTTAGTCATGGAAGAGAATCTTCTTGTTTATTGACAAAACTACCACCATTCAATTGGCTTCAGATTCTTGAGCTGCACAGCAACATTCTTCACTGTTAAAAACCTGTGTGATGCTGGGTTATTGGGCATACTTTTCTAAAGTATCATTATTCAACTGTTTCTAGGAGAAACATGGTTCTTTATTAACTAACAATGACAAAATGTCTCATAAGTAAATGAAAAGATGTCTAGGTTCACCAGTGAGCAAGGAAGTAGATTAACACAATGTACTTCCATATTTATATCTACAAATCAACATGTAGAATGATATTCCTTTCAGGAGAACAAGGCGAGTATGTACCCCTCTTACTCTGACAGTAAATTTGTCACTTTTTTCTGGAAGAAAGATTGGCCCTATTAATCTAAAAATCTTTAAAAAGTGCATGTGTGTGCTAAAGTCCCTGGTATGGGCTGCCCTCTGGGATCATGTTGACTTCTAAGGGCTGCAGAGCTGGCCCTACTTCTCACTGGCTGCAGCACTCAGGAGAGCAGGCCCTGCACTCTTGAGAGGGTGGGTAAGCTGGCTCCTGGGGGCATGAGAGCAGGAGAGCTGGCCCCATCCATTCTCTGCTGTGCCACTGGGTGAGCTAGCCAGGGCAGTGCTGGAGAGTTTGCCCCGATGGTGTAGGAGAACTGGCGGGCTGACCAACTCAGCTACAACCCATCCAAGGCTTTGAGCTGGCCACCCCAACATCTGCCTCATCTATGAACCGCTGGAGCAGATGGAGGGGTGGGCCCTCCAGATCCAAAGCTGCAGGATCTCCATGACACAGGGCAACAACAGGATATCCAAGAGGAGTCCTGGTGAGGACCCAG